CATTTGCTTTTTATGGACATAAGCAGGAGTGACATTTTAAAACGTCTATTATTACCTAAAGTGTCATTTTAATTGTGGTCGTGGTTTTTGCAGTGATTATATTGAATGCTTAATCTTCTCAAACCACAGCAGTGTTGTCTGTAGGTGACTTTTTTCTTTTTCTTTTTTTATTCCTCGAGAAACAGCCTGTTTTATTTGTTTAGTTGAACCAGAGCCACTGTCAATTGAAGATGTTTGTTTAACGATCTTGTCTTTGCTCCTAATTGATTTTATTTTTGTTGGATATTCAACCAACACACTTCACATTATACTGTTTCAGTTTAATATTAATGTTTTTTGAACACATACACTTATTTAGTTACATCTAATGAAGCAGTGGTATGCAAGATCTTAGTCTAGCTAAATACTAATTATGCTGCTGCTGCTTTTAATAGTAATAATAATAGGTTTTACTAGTTTTTCCCCCATAATCAGACACACTTCTCAGTCCCATAACCACAGTCTCTGCTGTTTTGTGTGTTGAACAGAAAGGGCCGCTATTGGCCAGAGTTTGGCAGTCTTCAGTGCTGTCCACTGTACCTCCCCTTTAGACTGTGACATAGTAGACAATAAAACAGGCACTACTCGCCCGTCCTCGTTTAAACAGAAATCTGCTCATGGATAAGAAAAGCTGATATTTTTATACAGTCCTTGATATACAATCGTTGATTTTAATTCTATCCATGTGGATTACAGTTTGGTTCATTTGAAGCTGGAATACCTCGAGAAAACAATGAGACGGCAAGTACTGTTGTTCATCTTGGTTCCCTCTCTCGCCTCGGTGTTCGGGCAGGTCAGCTACTCCGTTCCTGAGGAAATGGAGAAAGGTTCATTGGTTTGTAATGTCGCTCAGGATTTAGGTTTAGATTTGAAAAGACTCAAATCGGGTAGAGCTCGTGTTCATTCGGGAGACAGTGTGGAATATATCGAGCTGGACAGAGAAAGGGGTGTCCTCCTGATCAAGGAGAGAATAGACAGAGAGACGCTGTGTGGAGAAACGACGCCCTGTGCTTTACATTTACAGATGATTTTGGAAAATCCGATGGAATTGTTTCGCATAACAATAGAAGTCACAGACATAAACGACAATGCTCCCAGCTTTGCATCGAGCGAGAAACGTATTGAAATCAGCGAGTCAGCCATTACTGGGTCTAAATTTCTACTGGAGAAAGCAGTCGATGCTGATATTGGTGCGAATGGTCTCCAGACATATTCACTTAATCCAACAAATAACTTTGCGTTAAAACTAGAGAATCAAGCAGATGGAAGTAAAAAAGTAGAAATGGTTTTACAGAAGCCCCTAGATCGAGAGCACCAGGAACAGATATCACTGTTATTAACTGCTTTAGATGGCGGACAGCCACGTATGTCTGGCACAATGCAGATAACTGTTATAGTCTTAGATGTAAATGACAATGCGCCGGTTTTCACAAAATCGTTATACAAGGCTACAATCACGGAGAATTCCCCCAGGGGAACGAGTGTGATAACAGTTAGTGCATCTGACAAAGACGGTGGCTCTAATGCAGAAATATCATACGCAATTTCAAATAGCAAGCGTCGTTTAACCGACCTGTTTCAAATCGAAAGAAAAACTGGAGAGGTTACCTTGCTTGGTGAAATTGATTATGAAAAAGCGAAGCTCTATCAAATAGATATAGAGGCAATCGATAGTGGAGGACTCTCGGATTCCAGTAAGATTTTAATTGATATCACTGATGTAAATGACAACAGCCCTCAGCTGAAAATACTTTCAAAATCAGACACCATTTTAGAAGACTCTCCAGAGAATACTGTAATTGCTATGTTAAGCGTAAATGACCCTGACTCCGAGAGGAATGGAGAAGTAAAGTGTAATATTAATGATGACATTCCCTTTAAAATACAGAACACAATGAATGGATTTTTTAGTATATTTACATTGCTAACCTTAGATAGAGAGGTCGCAAACCAATATAACATCACA